TAGGCTTTAATTATTTTTATTTTATTATAAAAGTCTAAATCTAGTATGACCCTTCTTTTGAGATTACCTTGTCTTCAGGAAAATTTTGGTCAAAATATTTTATAAAAAGCAAAGGGGGGAATTGAAAAAAAATATAATTACAGAAAAATTTTCCTTCTTGATGTGTGGATTATATCTTTTCATAGAACCTAATCTTTTTTAAAAAGGAAATAAACTTTGAAATATATCTTTTTATTATAAATCTTCAAATCTATTTTTTATATCATATTCTTCTCTGGTATATACTTGATACAATTATTCTTTATATTTATGACTTATTGTGTTCTTAAAGGGCAATGTTTTACAATTTAATTTCTTATTACAAATAGATTATGTCAATTTTCCAGATAAAGTCTCTCAATGATAAACTTTGATCTGTATGATATTAAATATTCAACAAGCTCATTGACATATAAGTAAGCAACTTTAATAATATGAAGACAAATATTAATACTCTTTTTAACCATCTATCAATGAATGATAACATTTATATGATAGTTTTCAATATTCGACACTTAGTTCTTGGTAGCTGGAATCATATATATGAGAGTTTATTAATTTTTGCTAGTTGATATGCTTATTATAGGCTTTTGAAATAGAATGGCAATACAGCCACTCTAAAAAAATTTATAAATTATAAAATGTGCTTTAGAAATTTAGTAAGTCCATTTAACTATTAAGGATTTAAAGTATAAGGCTAGGAACAAAAAGAAAAATATTAAAAGTAGAATGACAAATAATAAAAATACTTATTGAAAAAAATTCAAAGATATACTGGGTTTGATTAGGATGAAATTAAATATTGGAATAAATATTCTAAAAATGATTTAGATTGATATTTAATGTTTAAAATCTCCTTTACAAATCCAAAACTGAGGCATTTCATTGATAATTATTATGCTACAATTAAAAAAAGGAACATTATCCTTCTGAGAAAATAAATTTTTTAATTGTAATTCATTAGGAGAACTTAAGAATTTATCTATTGATGAGTCAGTATTGAAAAGCATTACCGATAAGATTGAATAGAAAATGAAAATCAGAATTTCGTTTGCACTAATAAAAAATGAAGAATATTCTATAACAATATTCATATTTAATGTAAAACTTAATTCAGAATTCTTATAGTGTTTATGTATTCGACCAAAATTTAAAAGAACTATTAAATTCAAATTATCTTGTCCACCAAATCAACATAGAATTTGGTAATGATTATTAATATTTTATTCTAGAAAATATAAGGATTCATTTACCAGTTTCGAAAAGATAGTTTCTTTGATAAATGCTTAGATATGGAATTTATTTAATCCTATATATGGAATTAACCTTAAAAGCTGTGATAGCTTATAGCATAAAGATCTATGATGTAATAGAGTTCTAGGACTAATTAGGCACATAAAGGTGAAGAGAAACTCAATAATTAAATTTTTATAATTTGGCCATTATTAATGAGATTCAGTATAAAATATGGATTAAGAGAAATACCATTAACATTTATATATTAGATCTTAAAAGATAGATTAAAGTGGTATGTTTTAAGGATAGAGGATGTTAATATTATGAAGTGAAAATATGAATAATTAGGATAAAATAATACAATTACGGTAAGCTAATTTTGAAGATATTCCCAACGATTTAAAAAATAATAATGATAATAACCATTTAATTAATATAACNTCCATATATAAACCTGATTTACATTTGTAATTTGTTAAACCTGCAGCAATTTATAAATAGTGCTTATTATCAGCAGTTATATGCATTTAGTACCTTAAATAGATATATTTTATACAATTATTTTTCATCAATATATTTCCAATCACGAATGAATATTTCACTTTCTGAATTGGACAAGTATTTTTCCTCACATAAAAGAGTAGATGCAAATTAATCAGGGTAAATCAAACAATTTGAACAATCCATTAAGAATTTATAATTCTCATTCAATGGACTTAATATTAATAATATAAGTTACCATTTTATACATTATTTATTGTATTAAAAGTATCCATATTCACATTATATATTTTATTCATCACAATTAAAATAACCTTCAAGATAACATTCATTTTCTTAATATATTAATTATAAAGTCTAAATCTCTTCCAAATAATCTAATTATCTATTAATTTATTACTTTAACAAACTGGATTTCCAGGTATCTCATAGAATCCATATTCACAGAGACAAGAATATCCTAAATCAGAATAAAGTCTATGAGAATTTATATGACAACTTAAACAATCAAAATTAGTAGGTCCTTTACAAGTTAAACAAGTGTAATCACAAGGAATATCTAAAGTTGAATCAAATTCAAAGCAGAATGTTTACAATTTCCAATTACTTAGATATCCTTAAAAATTGTGATAATATATATCATCTCCTCCTAAATGATAATATAGCATAGTATTCTTAAAATAATGTATTTCTTAATCCCAAACAATTTAAGTATGTGTATCTTCACTTGGAAAATAAATTCTATAAATAGGTTATCCTTAATTTAAATTAGATCCAACTTCAAATTGAAAGAAATGCCATTTATTTAAAAGTTCACCATACTTTTTATCAAGTACTTTTTGAATTACTCCTGGAGATGTTGTATATGTTTTTGATTTGATAGGCATATCATAACTATAAGTATGTATTTCTATTCCAATAAGATCTTAGTTTTCATTTTGAATATAAATAACATATAATAGTTTATTTCCAATCAAATTATGATCACTATAGTCTTGATTAATCGATAATCTAAATAATATTTGATTTTTAATTATTGAATATCCAAATTTATCTTGTTTAACCCAACCTGATATTTTATATTAATTTCTTAATATTTCATACTAACTAACTCCATCTACTATATGATCTCCATTAAAGTATTCAATACTAGTTAATATTTCTATTGTTTCGGTATTGCAAATAAATACTGCATTACAATTTTCCAAAAAAGAATTTAGATTATCAAAAAAATTAATATCTGTCTAAAAAACCTTAGATATTTTTCCTGGAAATATATTAAAATTCAAAAAATTATTGTCTATTTCAATAACATTTAAGCCACCTGTATAATCATACATTACATATGTAAAATCACCATTCCATGTAACTTCCTTAATTTAAAAATCATTTTAGTTGAAGGAATAAAGATACAATTTTATTTATCCATTCTTAATATAATAATAAAATAATATCCAATCTCCATCAATTGTATATATATTAATATTAAATTAATAATATTACCATTATAGCTCATCTGGATTTGGATTTTTATTTTTTATATATATATTAAACGATATTGTATTGTCTTGTAAGTTTAATTCTAAAAATGCTAGTAAAACATCATCAGCCCATTGACTTTTTAAAAGTGAATAAATGAGATATTTTACTGAAATGTCTCCATCATTAATTTCTACTATAAATTATACCTTTACATGCTTCATTCTAGTTATTCATAGGAAGATAATTGATCCATAAACCTTTGTTGAATTCCAGACCATCTCCAATATCAATAATATTATTTTCTTCAATTAGAATTAATTGGCTTGCAAAATCAACATCAACCCAAAATGTTTAAGTATAATAAGTACATTAGGTATTAATCAACCTTATTAAACATCAATTAATACTTCAATATATGCAAGATAATAAAGTATTTTTAAATCATTTAATTAATATAACAATTATTTTTATTTAAGGTATACATATTATAAATAGTACTGGAGTATTAATATCTGTAAATTGCTTTAATCAATAAGCTAATATTGCAGGAAATGATTGTTTTACAAAAGAAATATTTGTAAAGAGCTATACTATAATATCCTTTTGCTTATTATTTCAAAAAACATCTGAAAAAATTCATATTTATGGGCTCTACTGTTAAACAATATGGTTTGAACAAGAAATTAAAAGATAGCTATACACTTTCCTTGCTCAAATTATAAAAAAGAGAGATGTATATTTTTATTTAACCCATTATTAATTCTCAATTTACTTTATTATTTAATTAAATGTAAAAACCAAAAATGATAGAAAATGCTAAAGATTTTTCTTGTTCTAAAGGACATAAGCTACCTGTCTTCATAATAACACTTGATCCAAAATTATCAAGGAATTAGAGACCTATGTGCACAGAATATTTAGAAAATACAGACATAAATGACAAAGTGGTTGGATTACAGAAAACGATTTAATTAATTGAAGATAATTAAGTAAAGAAGATGGAAAAAGTGGAAACTATCATAACGAATTAAATAAAAATAATTGAATAACTACATAGTAACGTTGATCAAAAGAAAACACATCTATTGTAATAATTAGAATAATTGATTAATATAATTATTGAATGGATTCAGAATCTATAATAACAAATATCATAATGTTCTCAATATAGTTTATTTATTTATTTATTTATTTATTATGGATAATACTCATTCGTTCCTTCTAATAATTTTTTTAGAGTTTTTCTTTGAGCCCTTAACAGTCTTTTTATTCATTCTAGGAAGTTATTTAAATTATTCTTCTTTCTAAAGATGTTATTCTATCTGCATCTACTCAAGTTAAAGTGAACCCTCATGCGTCTAGGTCTACAATTTGGGGAACTAGTCCATTTGACTCCTTAACCATGAAGACAATTTAGATTTCATAACAGTTTCCTTATCAAGAAACAAATCACCTTTCGTGACTGTTGAAAAAATTAATTAACTTTTCTAGCCATCTTCGTATTCATTCAATCTCAGTATATCGGTATCATAAATCAATTTACAATTGCTATTGATAAAGATTGTTCAACATTGGTGGCTGGATTTGATTAACTAATTAAAGTATTTGAATAAGGAATGATCAAACAAATTTTAACTTTAAATTAACATTAGGATTCTTTATTTACTTTAAACTTTATGTAGAATAAATAGTTTATATCTGAAAGTTATGATAATTCTATAATAATATGGAAATATAATAAAAATAATTTATGGTATTATTAATAAATATTAAATGGACATAATAATAGTATCTAATATTTAATAATCAATTCTAATGAAGATCTAATAATATCAGGGAGTGATGATAACACTATTAAGTTTTGGGTAAATAAGAATGAATGGTTGTGTTAATAAAAAATTAATGATCATTCTAATTCTGTTTATGGATTAAGTTTGAATTAATAATAAAATAGAGTTGTATCATGTGGAAGTGATGAGTATATATTAATAATAGAATAATCAGAATAGAATAAAAAATTGAAAGTAATATAAAGGATTACAATTGATAGTTATGGATGTCGAGTATGCTTTATTGATAATAATATGTTCACATTTTCAGTTTTTGAGATCAATAATAAGAATAAATAATTTACCAAAACTAGAGATATTCCTATAAAAAGTGGATCAGATGGCTATACAAAATTTCTTTAGCAATATAAAAATTAAAAATGTATTCTTGAAAGTAAAAATGGAGAATATGTCAATTTGATAAGGAAAAAATAAAATGGAAAATTTTTAACTGAATAATCTATTCATTTTGAAATAAATCAATTATATGGAAATATGAGTAATGGTAATGATGGAGAGTATTTGATCACTTGGGATAAAAAATCAAAATAAATTCAAATTAGAAGATATAAAGATATATGAGGAATATGAAAATTACATCCATATATGTTTTATAATTATCAATTTAATTTTAAAAAATGCAAAGCTTTGCTTTTATAATATATTAATTAGAATGAATTAAATTAAAACAAGCAATAATGATTACTTTTCTAAAATAGCATTTTTAACTAGAAATAACAATTATTAATCAAAATCAATATAAAATAATAAATTTGAATTTCATAATCTGCTTAACTACTCTAGATATGTAAATAATAATCTAAATTTATAATAATAAAATTGTTTTTAAAAAAGAAAACATATTAACTATGTTAACTTTACTTCTTAAAATGTTCTTTCTTTTTTTGATTTCATAATAATTTTCTTTAAAAACTAATAAGCAAATTATTTATTTTTTAAGATTTTAATATATAATGATATTATTTTTATCTTTTAACTAGTGAATGAAGATCTTCTCATGTTATTATAAAGATTAAGAATAAATCGAAGAAAATCAAATAACTTTGATCTTTATAAAACTTAAATCATGAGTAATTAATTTTTAATAATTGACTGAATATGTCATTATGTTTTTAAGTTGAAAAATAGTCTTGCATTTGGTAATCAAAAATTTATGTCTAAAATTAACTAACACATATAACAATATTGCTTAGTCAGTTTAAAATAATATA